CTCTCTCTCTCTCTTCTCTCTCTCTCTCTCTCTCTCCCTCTCTCTCTCTCTCTCTCTTTCACTCTTTCTCACTCTCTCTCTCTCTATCTATCTATCTATCTATCTATCTATCTATCTATCTATCTATCTATCTATCTATCTATCTATCTATCTATCTATCTATCTATCTCTGCGTGCGCGCGCGTGCTTGTGTGTGTGTGTGTGTGTGTGTGTGTGTGTGTGTGTGTGTGTGTGTGTGTGTGTGTGTGTTTGAGTATGTGTGTTTGTGTCGGTGGCTTATGACGACAAAAGTTAAAAGTACATCTTACATCAAAAGAAAAAAAACAACCATATTGTGCTATGACAGCAAATACGTCATTTTGGCAGTGATTATACATTATGTTCCTTTTAAAAAATAATATTATTTGTTATGAATCGGAGGGTATCGTTATTATCTCTGAGGAATGGGTCTACTCTTACCTCTGTTTAAAATGTCAGACGTTACATCGAGTTTTTGTTTGTTTGTTCTTTTTTTTCTTTTTTTTTTTTTCTTTTTCTTTTTGGTTACCTTTGTATATTATTACCACGACAAAAGGAAGATAGGAACGAGTTGTTTAGTTTTAGTTTTAGTACGAGTTTTACAGCACTTTCAACTCATTGATGTCATAGAAGTGCAGCCGAAGATTGAATGTGTTACAACAGAGTAACAAACACATAACAGCGGGAGAGATCAGATAGAGAAATATTTGATAGGAAAGAAGGAGTAAACCACACCAGAGTAGCCGCCAACATTCCACGGAACGAGTTGGATTTAACACTGATTTGCCCCCACCTTAAACAACATCTGCGCTTTATTTAAGGGAGAAGTCGCTGCCCTAGAGTTATAAAGTTCTTTCTGCTCTAGTCTTGACAAAACTGACATGAAAAAAATTTGAGTTTCGCAATTTAAACTTTTTCGAAAGCAGTTCTTTGAATATCTTGATAACGAATCCAAATAATCTGGCGACTTTGGTAGAGAAGATATATTATTTGGTGTCTGACCTCACGGACTTAGTATCTCAAAGTGGTCCAATATGTTATAGATAGAACTTTGTAATTCTAAGGTTGTGAAATGTTGCCATAATCGGTCCAAACTGAGAAGCTGTTCATTCAAGCATGCGCTCAATCCATCATGCGATTGCAACCATCACGAAACACTAATTGTATGTACTGCTTTTTTTTTTTGTAGGGGGGGGGGTCCTTACTCTGAACTCATCAATGACCCACCTATCTGCCCTAAAGTGGCTTCTTCACAAGCACATAATTACTCTCGAACAACTCTCTGCGTCTTGTCATCTCCATTAGCTTTACCACTTGAGGTTTCATAGACGTACCCCTAGGCTACAGTGACCTCGCGCGACTTAATTACGGCGAGAGGATGACCTGTGAACTATGTGGTAGGTTTGAACTCCATTTCGTCAGAACTTAGGTGATTGATGGAGCAGGATGACGAACGGGGATGCGGGGTTAGGGTCTTGACTCTTAGCTGAACTACATGTACATGAAGATAAGCGCTGATTATACAGACAAGGAGATTGTGCTGTGAGAACGAAGTGGAATTTATAAATAGATAGTACTAAGTAAGAATACATCTTTAAAAAATTGAATTGACTTTGAATGTACTTAAAGATGAATTTATTACAATAATGAAGTGTTGGAAATGGCTGGAATTGAAGATACCAACACGACCATAAAAATTGGAAGATGGAGATTTTTTTAATGCTTTGAGACAGCCGGAGATGAGATTGCTCGATTAGACGCTGTATTTTGTTTTAGTAGAGGTATTTCGGCGCTCGTAACTGCATAAGGCCATATGAGCGCCAGAAGATGTTACAAGAGAGTAACAAACATAAAAAAGAAAAACTGGAGATAAGGGTGATGGATGTTTGATAGGAAAAAAGAAGCAGACTACACCAGAGAACCCGCCAACCACCCATAGACATTGTATGGGAGACCTAGTGGAGAAAGAAAACAAAAAAGAGGTAGACCAACTGGAAGTTATAGATGCACTATCAAGGATAAGGCAATCACTCAGGGTCTGCATGTGTCAAGAGTGGATGAGGTGGCCAGTGACAGGCAAACACAGCGTCCACTGCTCTCTACATTATGTTCTTAACGGTATGAGGAGAGAGTAAGTAAGTGGCGTCGGTGGCCTAGCACTAGTAGTTGTTAAGCTACCGGACCTGTAATCGTGAGATTGCGGGTTCGCGGGTTCGAACCTCAGCTCGGTACGTCGTTGAGTTCTTGGGAAAGGCACTTTACACGAATTTCCCACTAGGCTGGGTCCTTTCGGAGATGGATACTAAACTCGGAGGTCCCGCATAAACTAACAGTCTTGATGGGAACGTTAAACATATGCCATTTCACCATTTGTCAGAGAGTAAGTTAATATACTTAATCATACGTACCTGAAAAATGATACGATTTTGGTTTAATGCCCTATACACACCGTAAGTTGATTTATGAGGCCGGAACTCCAAAATTTATTAACGTCCACTTCCAATAGGACTGTCATACGTTTGCCTTCCCTCATATTCAGTTTAACCAAATGATAATGATGATAGCTTGTCCATCAATATCTGACCATGACCAGTATATCCGAAGAGGAGAACTTTTCTCCAGCGAAATGGATAAATTTGAAAAATTAAAATGAGACCAATTCTAGTAGAGAAAACCCAACAAATAATCAGGAGGTAAATATTAACGGCTATGCTCAGATTGTAGAGGGCTTGCCTGTCATGCCAGTGGTAACTTGGCTTTGACCTAGGTTTGTTCAACCATAGTAGAAAGATAGTGTCGATTTTTCGACATGATTTTGTCACCTTATGAACGACAGACTTCTTATCTAACCAAGGTTTTAAACAGGAATACACTTTTTTCGAAAAATCCGGTCACCATCGTTGAATCTTGGCAGGTAATTCAAGCTGCCCATGAAAAAAGCGCTGATCTGTATTTACTTTGTTAAAAAGAAATAACAGGAAAAGAGCTTGAGAAATCAAGAAGACGATTCCAGAAATTTTGTAAAACTTCAGGCATTTCATGTTTCGCTAGGGTGTCAGTCAAAAATCTTACTGGTAATTTAGAGTAGAGAAATAGCAAGACAGACAGAAAAAAAAAAACTAAGGGAAAGTAAAGAAGTGGGGCCTACCAGCGGTGCCCTCCAACCGCCCGCACGAATTGAGCGTACTTTAAATTAACCCCAATTTTTTCACTGTGTGTTTTGTGTGTTTTTGATGGTGTACCTTTATAATAGTCCTCTCAGAGTATAACATCAGCTTCGAAGGGGAAAATAATCAACCAAGTCTCTAACGTACAATCTCACCAAATCCTCCCCAACCACTAGAGCAAATCTTTAGCTGTTGTTATTTTAAATGTCATTAATCAACTAAAGAAAGTAGGCTAACCAGAGGCATCTTTGCAGTAGGTCACTGGAACGAAGAGACTATTCAACGTATAGAAATGGTAACAGTACTCATAAAGAGTGACACAATTAGCTCCTTGGTGCCGTGGCAACGACATAGTTCGCTGACAGCAGCTGCTTTTGTTCTGATTTTCCTTAGCTATAAAATATTAGAATACGTTTATTTTTGTTGTTGTTACCCCCCTCTTTCATCCAATTTCTGTCCTTTTCTCTCCCCCCCCCCTCTCTCTCTCTCTCTCTCTCTCTCTCTCTCTCTCTCGGTCTCTCTCTCTCTCTCTCTCTCTCTCTCTCTCTCTCTCTCTCTCTCTCTCTGTCTCTCTCTCTGTCTTTCTCTCTCTCGCTCTCTCTATTTTGTTCACTCTCTCGACCCTCTCTCTCATGCTTTCATTCTCTCTTTCTTTCTTTCTCTCTCTCTCTCTCTCTCTCTCTCTCTCTCTCTCTCTCTCTCTCTCTCTCTCTCTCTCTCTCTCTCTCTCTTGCTTTTTCTCACTCTCTCCCTCCCTCTCTTTCCATTTCTCCGTCTCTCTTACTCCTTTCTCTCTCTCTCTCCCTCTCTCTCTCTCTCTCTCTCTCTATCTCTCTCTCTCTATCTCTCACTCTCTCTCTTTCTCAATGTCAGATAAAGAGAGACAGAGAGAGAGACAGAGAGAGAGAGACACAGAGAGAGAGACAGAGAGAGAGAAAGCGGGAGGGGAAGGAGGTAGAGCGAGAGAGACAGACAGACAGACAGACAGACAGACAGACAGACAGACAGACAGACAGACAGACAGACAGACAGATAGACAGACAGAGACAGAGACAGAGACAGAGATAGAGACAGAAAATGGAGAAAGAAAGAGAGGAAGAGGAGGTGGAAGAAAGAAGAATCTGCTAGGAGCCGCTAAGAAAGCGTTAGGATCCCCTATTGTCACGTAAATGCTTGGGTTTTCTTGTTAGATCCCACAAAGACACCGCCCTCTGTCCTGACTTTTTAACGAGGCGTGTGACATTTCATTTAGATCACACTCTGATGATGTTAAAAAGTTACACTCAGGAAACCCTTCGTTACCAGCAAAATGATCTTTTTGGGGAATTGAATGGAACGAGTACATTTGAACCCCATGAGTCCCATCCCAATGAATATCTTACCGCCTCCACTTCAATACACACACATACACACACTCACACAAACAAACACACACACACACACACTCACACACACACACACACACACACACACACACACACACACACACACACACACATACACACACACACACACAAACACACACACAAAACACGTATCAACCGCTCCTCTCCCCCTATATCACACCCTTCCATCCACCCCCACCACCCAAACCACCTTTCTCCTCATCTCCATCCCCCCCCCCACACACACACTCACATTAACCCCCTCCCTCCAACCAAACCAAACCCCATGGCCAAGTACGGGGCAACCACCACCACAAACCACCCCCACCTCCCCCACCTCCCCCACCACCACACCTCACACACGGACCACGGTCTCTGTGCGTTCTTACGCACACGAGGACACGACCCAGGTGTATTATGAGGCCACGTTTCTCGCGTTGACGGCGAGTAGAAAGGCATAGGCTGGTCGGTCAGTGTGTGCATGAACAAGGGATACACCGGTACTTCAAACCCCTTCCTTCCTTCATCGTCTTCAGTGTGATCTTAATTCGGGTGAGTAGTGAGAACTGTTTAAATTCTACAGACTGAGTTGAATTATTGTTCATTTTCTTAACTTTTACTTTTATTTATTTTTACGTTTATTATTTTATTTGTGTGTGTGTTTATTGTATTCTATTTTATTACTAACCTTACAATTACTATTTCTATTATTTTTATCGTTATTAGATGCTTCAAAACCCTTCCTTCACCATCTCTGGTTCTCAGTGAGGATGAGTAGTTGAGTATTTGGTGCAGTTTTTCCTTCAGTTTTTTTCTGTTCTTTTTCTCTTTTACTTTTTTTTATATTCTTTTATTTTTTTTCAGTTTGTATTTATTCTGCTCTGTTTTATTATTAGATCTAACATTATTTTTTTTAGAAATAATGAAAGTTTCAAAGAGATCTTCGTACTAGAAGTATTTTAAAATGTGAAAATATGGACAGTACCTTTGCCTTTTTGTATGAGCATTTTTATTGTCTGAAAGAATGTTGCTGTCAAAAAGTGTGCACATGATGAATTTGTATGGTGTTAGTATGAGAATGCGTTTTTAATCTCCTATGTACGCCTTGGGCCCATGCTGCGGGGAAAGGCGGGATACAAATGCGCTTATTATTATTATTATTATTATTATTATTATTATTATTAAGATTACAACCCGGGGGGGGGGGTACAAAATGACCCCAGGCCGTGCGGAGAGGGTTCAGTGGCCAGTTTGTGTCAAAAGAAGCATACTAAACTTTTATTCGAATTACATTGCTACTTCTAGGAAAATGTTATTCCTGTGATACAAATAAGAAGTTAAAATAAGTTTTCAGAAATGTAGCAGAGTGATGACTGATTCTGTTTAAAAGGACAATTTATAAACCGTTAAAGAAGTAAGATTTTATTTCTTGAATGGATTAGAATCTTCACAATAAAAAATATCTTAGCGCTCAAAAGTTCCCTCTCTCGCATACAAACAGGCAGGAATACATAGGCACAAAATCACATAGTCAACACACAAATATTTATACCCACACGCGTGCACGCGCGCGCGCGCGCAAACACACACACACACACACACACACACACATACACACAGAGACACACACACGCTCGCGCGCGCTCCCACACACAGTCTCGTACACACATATACATACACACATACTCACACACTTACACACACACAAACACACACACAAACACACAACACACACTCTCTCTCTCTCACGCACACACGCACGCACACAC